CAAATTCATGCAGTTCTCAAAACTAGTGAAATAACAACATCTCCTTACGTCAACTCCTCAAGGGGCTCTGGCACGTTACATCTAGCGGCAGTCTAACGTATCAGGGAAGCTCTTATGGGCAACAGTTCAACTCTTCAATAAGTTTGGAACCACCACAGATGGAAAATTCGGAGACTCGAAAGTTACAGTTACCACCAGGATAATTATCAGATGCAGAAACTAGGTCTCCCCTTGTCGACTTTCGTACTCCCAAAATGAAAAAATTGATGTGAAAACCCAGCCAGACACTCTAAAGACTCCACATCTGTAGTGGATAGAAAGCCACACGAGTAGTCTACTTGGGACTTTTTACAGGACCGAGCACCCAAGAAAATTCTCTAAAAAGCGATTTTTCGAGTTCGTTGCTTTCGAAGAATTGTTACAATGGAACCTTCCACCTAATAGCTCTAGATTTCTGTATTTCACACCCTGGATGCAAGCGCAAATAAATGCCCACAAAACTTTGATTCCCTGAAGAAAGCAGAGCAGAAGGCCTGGAAACATTTTGACACGCCTCAGTTGCGTGCCACCGCACGCGCCATCCCCTTCATCTGAAGGCTCGTGTAAACGGGGCAGGTGGCAGATCTCAATTCTATTCTGGAATTACTTTGAGGTAAGAGTTACAAACACTTCCCTGAAGTTTGTTTGTTCCATCAAGCTACTATGCGTTTTTAACGACACAATGTCTTGGTCCTCATAATTTTGGCCCACCCTGTATTCTGGGATACCGATGACACCTGAAAGTGAATACCACCTTTTTGTCGTGTTTTGCCCTCTCTACCGAGGCACTGAATATTGCTCCAAGTGAAATCTAAGAAATATTAACGCAGCATCTGTTGATCAATCTTTGCTAAAGCGAACATTTGTCGCTTGGGATGATGCTCATGGAACTTACCAATAGGTATTGATAAGCGAAGTGTCGCCGCGCCCATCAAATCGACACTTATGACCCCTCTCGTTCCTATCTTTCGTAAGTTAACAGCGTAGAACTTCACGAAATTGTTTCGACTTCATGTGTGAAGCGATTTTTAATCCAAGGGAAAACGTGAAGAATTTTCGATGCAGGTGCTTTTAAGGCCTCATTTAGGGCAAAAATATTGTGGCATGAGGAGAAGGGTGAACCTTTTGTCGGTGACCCACGAGCAGGTCGTATTTGGTCCACGGAGAGGGGTTAGTGGTGAAGCAGGTGCCAAATTCGGACCACGCGGCAGTGTCTCATCAGTAGACGTCCTGGGAAATGGTATCGCTGTAGTGAACCACAAACTGTGCGAGAAATGAAGTGATAGAAAAGAAAGTGATTACTATAAAGCTTATGCGCAACGCTGAAGTATGTGGTCCACTCAGAACGGTAGTAAGGCCATTCTTTCACAAGTTTCGGACCACTTTGTTTTTTTTTTTTGGAAAGCGCCGATCCTCAAATTCATTATGACGACTTTAGATTCCCTAAATATATCTATGTAGAGGTGAATCGAGAAGATTTTATATGCTACGCCTTCGAGCGACACAGCTTCAACTGTCGAGCTGGATCTATGCATATTCATTAATCTTGAATAAAGTGACTTCTCTGCTTTTTTTATTTTCCAAACGCCCTCCGAAGAAGGAATTGTTGTGCTACAGTTAGTAGACTTTACTGTGACAAAGTGATTATGCCCTAATTTGTGTCTTATCTCTGCCTTATGCAGTGTTACAAATGAACAAATTAATATGTTTTGTTTTCACAGGTATCGACTACACAGCCAGCAATAAGTATCAGGGTGAAGATTCGTTCGGAGGACGTTCACTGCACACGATTCATCCTAATATTATGAATCCATATCAACAGGTTGGTTTGAATTTTCTGCAGGGGCTTTCTTTCTCTTCATACGACAATGCCATTTTGAATGATAAGGATGGCGTTAATGCTGTGATTGCTTCAATC